ACTAATGATGAATGACCTTTAAAATAAATGAAATAAAGCTAACTTATGCTCAAAGCGAGTACAAGCGTTTTGAATTGTTGATTTTGAAATAACCCTATCTCGTGTACCTTATCCAATTTCAAAGTCATTTTATAGCATATACAATACAAGTGATAATTAGTAGGTGCAACTGTGAGTCTGTTTTCCGAAATTTATAAAATTAAATTTAAGAAATTATATGTGCTCCACACAACTGAATGCTTTTAACCACATCCATCCAAGTTATAAGCACGTATTGGAATGCACTTAATGTGGAGGAAAACTTCATTACGCCTATATGGGTACACTAAATTGATAAGTCCCGTATTCACTATTAATAAGCACGAATTAGAACGCACTTGGATATACCAACGTTATGCCCTATGGTAACACCGCGACGTCTTATGCCCGGCGCCCATTAGCGGGATGGTATGGCAAGGGATCTTTCGGCATCTTTACGTGCAAGGGCTCATTGACGGCAAATATGCAGCGGCATCTTTACGCATACCGTCGCGACACCATGTTCACGCCTGACCTCTATTCAGATCATTCGTAACGTTAAACGTGAAAGCCTGCCTAAGCATTCCGAAACGTTCCAGGTGCCGCCAGCCGTGGTAACGCCGCACTGCTTACTTAAGCGTGAAACACACATAGAGCGGATGCGGGTCGGGACCGCTGCGGGTCTAATTCCGTGTATTTATATGGAGGACAAGACACCGAGCGCGGGCGCGAGACGGGCACACGACCCGACCCGCCCCGACACGCGCTTGTCCCACACCCGCTTTCTATGTGTTTCACACTTTACGCACTGCAGCGCCTCTCCCCGCTTCGTCTCCTGACCCTGTACTTCTATGTTATATTATGTAGTAGAATGCAGTACGCATCGTGTGGAATCGCTGTTGTGGTTGCAGTACGATATTATTCAGTGGGCTACGGCTTGAAGGCAAATGACGTATTCATTCTGCAAAAAAAATTACTACATGTTCTTGTTACTATAAGCACTAGTATCAGTTGCAAGCTTTTTTTTTATAAAGATCGTAAATCAAATTGTCCTGACCATTTCCTACACGTATATGCACGTATTCTCGACATTGTAAAGTTTGTAAGAAAATTTACACAGCTCTCGTCGCAACAGACAATGGAGCACCATTGTCTGAACAATTCCAATCTTGGTTTAGGTACTTCCTATTGTTTTTTTCAATTCCATTTGTATAGAAATAGTCCTTATTGCAGAGCAGTTAAAATAAAAAATATATATTTTATATAATAAAATGCCTCTGAGCATTAAAAACAAGCTGAAATATTTAATTCTCAAATTAAAATAGTTATAAGTACAATTACATAAATGAGTTATCTATAGATATAAATTTAAATTGTCAATGATACATACCTGCGGCTTAGTCTACGTAATAAAAACAAACTATAATTTTAAATAATGTTAAATTGTTAACGTAATATATTTTACATGGTTGCAACTCTCAAATTTCATGAATTGATACAACCGAACAAGGTTCATGTACTGTCACTGTGCAATTATTAATATTAATTTAGCACAAATTGTGCAAGTTAAGAATAATTAATAAATAAATATTTAATAAGCTTATTACGACGAGGTGATCTCCTAAGTATACTTGGGCATAAATCTAAAGCCTAGTACATGTAACATGAATGAAATAATAATAAATTATTTATACAAACATAGTTCGTAACAGACGAACTTATTTCTATGTAGCAATTTGTTCAAGGCAACCTTGGCTCAATTTATACTCATTATCTATTGTAATCTGGCTAGTAATGGCAATCCCAACTCTTTATTTATCAGAATGTAGCATTATACTTGCCGTACAAAACGTTATTACAATACAATACAATACAAAAATTCTTTATTGTACACCAAAAAAGGAAACAAATACAATACAATTAAATTAAAAATAAGCGGTGGTACAATGGGCGGTCTCATCGCTTTAAGCGATTTCTGCCAACAACCTTTGGATGGAAGTAATTATAAATATAATTCACAGGAAAAAGACGGCGGTGTATGAGGAATTACTAATCAATAGATAAAAATTGATAAATAAATGCAAATAAACATATATTTATAAATAAGTAATAAAACCAATACTATATGAATATCGTAAACTACTATATATTCTTATACCTATGAATATAAAATTTCTAAAACGTAATTTCAAAACATAAAAATACCTAAGCAGTCCAAGTCACACTAAATGAAGGTAGTGTATTTTTACCATATTTTTGAATATATTCAATGATTTCGCTTGTTGAATAAACAAAGGTAAAGCGTTCCACAAACGAATAGCCTGAACAGTAAAGGACTTGTCGTAATACTGGGAGGTATGCAATGGCATCTTAAGTTGGAGAGTTGAAGAAGAGCGCAGAAGTCGGGGGTTGGATTGATGGGCGAATTCAAATCGCTCCTTAAGATAAGGTGGTGTGTGAGGAATGAATAAGATGCCATAAAGAAGATTAGGAATATGAGCATTCCGGCGAAGTCTAATGGGTAACCACTTCAGCTCCTTGCGATAAATGGAAACATGGTCAAATTTCCTCAGACCATAAATGAAACGGATGCAAAAGTTTTGTAGACGTTCGAGCTTGTTGAGCTGTTCTTCGGTTAAATCCAGATAGCAGGCATCAGCATAATCAAGAATTGGAAGAAGAAGAGTTTACATTGTTATGAAAACCTCACATGTTTGTGACACCTTGTTAAGCTCAAATGTACATGCCTCACGAATTCTAGCTACCTCCTTGCAATAGTATACAAATACTATTAAATACCAAAGCTAAATTTTGTAATTGTTATTTTTTAATTAGGCTGTAAAGAAAATGTCCGTAATAATAGAAACATATCTCCAGTGTTCATGCTCACCGCAATCCCATCTTCATTCGCCAGTCGCTTTCATATTTTAAAGTGTATTGTTGACCTGAGTGTGTAAGAGTCGAATTTTTCCCAGAAGCGACTCATTAAACCGACTTAATGCGCGGATTAACGACTCACGGACAAAGTAGAACCTTGAGAGTAAATCTGGGTTAAATAAATAGAAGTCGAAGTACTCAAGTATAGATGAAAAGAGCGCTTTGTGCTGCACTCATTTGCTGAAACGGAAGCCCGACGATTTTTGCCACTAACAAAACTTTTACAGCTGCAATTATGGGAAGTTTCATCGCTTCTGCCAAATTACCGTCTCGTAATTATATTCGCATTCACGATCTACAGTTGGCAGCTGCTTGTCTTGCGGGATCCGCGCACGTGTTGTCATTACCAATTCAAGTACTTGAAAAAAAATACTAATTAATAATAAAATAAATGAGTGCGTAAACAAAATAAGGTATGCACAAAAACCCTAGCGTAAATACCAGAACGATGCAAAACGCAGGAGCGGGGATACGAGTCGTCAATTACAGATCTCAAACGTGTGATACAGCAGAAACTTAAAATTTATTTTTGGTAAAATTGCTGCCACTCTTACTAAGTAACATATTGAGTCAGCCTGATCTTACGAATTTCTCTACAACTCATTGCAGACCTTGGTATTAGGTTTAAACAACGTTTTTGCCGTAGTACCACCTATAACAAACTTATGAAAGTTTCTTCATTCAGCAAGGTACCCTTACAGCCTTATATAGTAATTGAATTACTAATTCACTTCCACTTGTACCATGAGTGAATTGAAGATATTATTTAAAACTGTTCATATTTTACTACACGTCTCGCTAAGTAGATGTCATCCCAAATATCTCACGACCTGGAAATTTATTCTTAGAATATGCAATAGTAAATTTGATAGTTCTCCCATGATTACAGCTAATAATTTTAAGTATAGGTTTAAAGATTTATTTCTCACTAAGAATTTTCATTCACTTAACATGAGAAAAACTAAATATAGTACAGTTGAAATATTGAACGACAAAGATTGGGTATAAAAATTATTCTACATTAAGTGGGTAGTTGCTTATTTAAACGTGAGTTAGTTGGTTGAATCGCTAACGTGAATATTGCTATACACAATTAATAAAGATATATGAAACGGCTAAAACTAGAAGCGACATGCAAGTAGTTTAATAAGGACGAAATGTTTGGTACTTTGTATTATTATTGTATTTTGTTTATTATTTATAATGTAATATATATATGTGTATACACATATATTCATATTCATATACAATAAATAAATACATATACATACATACATACTCACATATATTCTTTTTGTTTTGTTCGTTGTATTAATTTTATTTTATGTTATTCAAGTAGTATTAAATTTTTATTATTATTCATATTATTTTATTTAAGAAGTTTTTAATACGTGTGCTTTAAGCAATCGCTTGAATGTCGTTATTGTTTTTGATTCTCTTATGTCTTTTGGTAATTTGTTATAAATAGTGACACCTTCATTTAACAAACATTTTTTCCCGTAATTTGTACGTGCAGGGCGTAGTTTAAGTTCTTTGTGGAGTCTTGGTCTCAACTTTGATATTTGCTTAGTTTTGCTAATAGTAATTTCAGTATGTATAGTTTTATTTAATATTTTACGAACTAATATGCAAGTTTGATATTTGTACGTTTGCCTAATATTCAATAACTTGGTATCTGTGTATATTTTATTTGTTGATGTTAAATAATTATAATTAAAAAGTACTTTAATCAGTTTGTTTTGTGCAGTCTGAATAGAGTCAAGATTAGTTTTTGCTGCCGTGCCCCAAACCTCAATGAGGTAGTCTATGTGAGGTTTAACAAGAGAATTATATATTTTATATCTAATTTTGTGTGGGAGACATTTGACGATACTTCGAAGTGTTCCCGTAAGAGATGTCAATTTAGATTTTATTTTATTAATATGTTGTTTAAATGTCATATAATTATCTAGTACCATACCAAGGTATTTTTCACTGTTATTTATAAGTATGTCTTATCTTAATTCCTGTTCTTGAATTAATACTCGAACTTCTCCTTGTTTCAGATAGTAACGTCTTTCGAATCAACACATTTCACAACCATGGGGCTGAGTTCACAGCTACGAACTGAACAACCATCGCATACGCTCCGAATACCAACTGATACTTACTTGTACAGTTGAACAACTACCAAAATGGTTAAGTAGTAGACATAGACTGTTCAAATAATTATGAGCTTATAAGTTAAGTGGATGTCAAGAGAAGAGAGAATGCCTTACTACGGGTACCGAGACGGATCGGACTCGAGTGGGTGTTCCGACTCGGAAGGGGGTGAGTCGGACTCGGAAGGGGGGTTAAGCACGGAGAGCTCTGCGGGACAGGGCCTGCCCTACCCTGGTTTCACTCCCGTCGCCCTCCGTTACTTAACGCAAGACACCAGGCCCAGAAGTTGGTGCCTCAAGCTTATCACCAATCCATATCCTTTTCAATAAGTGAATAAGAATTTAAAATCTTATTTTTACTATAACCACTACTTTTTGTTAAATATTGATAAAAAGCTTTATGATTATCATCTGCTGTAGTTATATACTCGATGATGACCATTAACCTTTTTTAGACTTATATTCAGCTTCACAGTTAGCAGGTTATTTATAACATTTATAAATATTTTCTTTGTATTAATCATGTAGTATATTTAGTTATTACTTCCATAAATAACACGGGACGTGAAACCTAATTTGAATAACTCTGATATTTCTATAAAGACATAAATCATACATTTTACGAACCGTAACCTGTCTCAAGTCCATTAGTGTGAGTAGTTAATCATAAAATGTCACCTGATTCCACAACGCCCTATTTTATGAGAATAGCATTATAAAGATTAGAGTCTTCTGTATTTATACCTTCTGCCTACTAAATGATGAAAGTCATTATAATGAAAATGTTGAGAAATGTTGGTCATTTCGCTGAATGCAAAAAACATAAACCAGACGTCATATTTTTTTAACGAATGGATAAAAGGAATAGCGCGAAAAATGAACAACATTAAAATTGTTTTTTAAAACATTACTTATATTTATATAACAATAATCTCAGTACATAGTACTAAAAAAACCGACCTCAAAAGTACGTGGAATTACGTCTATTTGCTAAGTTTTATTGAAATATCCCCTAGTGCGCCACTATACAGGACTTGACACTAGAGATAATAAAAATAGGTTCTCACTACGACCCTACTCAAAGTATATTGAGAGAAAAACGCCTTGAATTAGAGAAATAGCAAAATCAACCATTAAAGTAATTGCTCCTAAATTAAAGTTAGGCGCTATTTATAAAAATGAATCTTCATGCGTGAACAGCCACCATTCGAGGTGGATAATTTTCTTCAAAATGAAATGGGACCACTATAGAAGTACCCCCTTTCCAACAAAAAAAGAATCATGAAAATCGGTTCACAAATACCGGAGTTATCGCGTAACATACATACAAAAAAAAAAGAACATACAGTCGAATTGAGAACCTCCTCCTTTTCTGAAGTTGGTTAAAAACTAAATTTAAATGACATGACAACGGCAATGGATTTATTGTTGGGCTCTATTTTACATCAATATTATTTAGGTACCCAATCTATTCGGTAAACCAGGAAAATATTATCCCATCCAATCAGTGTGATAATTGAATTGCTATCTATCGTATAACAAGCAGATACCTCGATCAAAACCATTTCTTGACATAATTGGCAAAGATATTTCCTAAAAGACATTAATATCTACATCAATAATAACACATACCGAAATAATAATACATACAATCCTCATAAAGATAGAGTATTAAATCCGCATAGAAATATTGATTATATTGCAGTGTTGTGTGGTCATTTTCTTGACTTAGTAGCTGCTGCTGTCAAACAGTAACGTGAGCATTACTACGCTCTAGTTTTGAATGTAAAGATGAAATTACAGCCAGATTAGACTTGTCAACTTTATGTTTCAGCGTGACGGACGCAGTGGCCCTATAATGTCCCTCATATATTAAATTAATGGATAGGCGTGGCGCTTACCACCAGGTGCACAACTGGTCCGTCCAGTTACTTAAAAAAAAACCCATTAAACTAGTCCCTAAACGCGGTCCCCCTAAGGCGAAGACAGTATTCCAAAGAAGTATAAATACAATATTCTCATGATCAGGTTAAATGCACTGGACTATCATGGTTTTGACTGTTGCCATTGTTCTGTACGTTACGAGTTTGTTAGAACTTGAACACGACTGGTGACTATAAAGTTTCACGAAACTAAGTCGCCAACATTGTGATGTAAATTCTTGTTTAAAAGTTGACCATGTTGCAAAGCTTGGTGGGAACAAGAAATCGATGTGCTGCACTTTTCGCTATAAAACATACTTTCGAGTTAAATCTTTGTGAAGCATATCGCAGACAATGTTGAAAAATGGTGTAGAGAAATGTTTTAAAAAACCGGCATGTCGCAGACGGACCACACCACCACACGTCTTATCTATACGGAATCGCAATAAAGGAACCACCACACTTTTTAGCGCAGAAACAACTTGAACCGGACAGAAAAGCTTTATGTGCAATGTGCATGCAATAAAAGCGAAATGGATTTATTTATTTATTTATTTCAGAGAATCAACGGCATCAGTGTTTTTTAAATAATATGTAAATGTAAATCCAACATAAGACACACGTTTGCGCGCAATGTACGCGCAAATCTTGAAGCTCCGCTGTACGCGCCGCCGATCCGAATTTGTTTCCGATTCGTATTCCTTCTGAAACCGAGATTATACAAATCTTGTAAAGTCTCACTTACTTCGTATGTAGCTTGTGCACTAAGTCCGATTCCAATCCGAGAAAATACGAATATCGCTTGTACACCTGAAGATAAAATGACACTTGTTGACCTGTGTCATTTCGGACCGTCATTTCTCGGATTCGGAACAGATACGAATCGGACGTAGTGTATAAACGCTCTAAGACTTCAAAATCTACGAATTGTGTATAGAAGATCCCTGTGAATGTTTGTTTTCAAATTAGGAATCAAATGACAAGATCACGTCAAACATTTGAACAAAACGTTTGGATAGCTGTCAGTCTTTGCTCAAGACTGTTGATGTTCGCTTCATAAATACATCAACATCAGAATTCATCAAAATGTTCTACCGCTTCATATCCCTTTGATACATTATAATATATTTGATTCGTTGACGTCTAACGTCGTATAGAAATTGTTTGATCTAAAATTACTTTCATGAAAATTAGGGATACATTAAAAAGAGACATGAAGCCATACTCATCAAAAATTCATCAACAATTATGTAACTTGAAAAGGATCATTTATTTTTTTCTTATAATGTTGATGACTCTACGGTTTGTACTGTGGTTGGTAGATGATGAAGGTTCGATTTCCATCGAACCTATTTGTAAAATGTACTTTTCTAGATCAATGCTGGTCTGGGTGTTCTGAACAATCTATTGTAATGCATTCTGTTGCACTGGCGCTTATTTTGTCTGAGACCAGACAACTGGTGTGATTGCACATTTTAAGTCTGTCAACAAAATGAAACTAAAAAATGAATGACGCAGATCAGATGTCCGACTGACACGGCGTACCTGAGCTACCCCAGGTATACTCTGGAGCACAGGTTTCTACCTCGTGCCGGAGTCTGTGTGTACGTTCGTGATGACATCTGTGTCAAGCGTCTCAAAAACCTTTGATGCACCGAGTTTTTCTGTTTTGTGGCTTCTGGTAGACACAGGAGTTGCACAAATAGTGTACTTCTGTGTTTACCGATCGCACAGTGGAGATCAGGGTCTCCTGATGAGATTTGCGCGTACATTGCGCGCAAACGTGTGTCTTATGTTAAATTTACATTTACATATTATCTAACCAAGCTATTCCAATATCTGAGTGAGACGTCTGATGAGATTCAGCATAGGTACGCAGCGGCGCAACTAGTCATTCTGAGGGACTATAATGCACACTATCAAGAATGGTTGTTCCCATACCAGATGACCGATCATGCTGGAAGAGAGATGCGTAAACTTGCGTTAACGCTAAGCATCTCCCAGCTTGTCAGTGGTGCCACTAGGATACCAGATGTTGAATCTAATACGGCTAATTGCTTGGACTTTCTGTTGGCAACTGATCCAGACCGATACACTGTGGTCGTGGATACCCCACTGGGTACTTCCGACCATTGTCTGGTGAAAACTGTATCCGTATACTCCCCACGCGATCAGGGCCTTAGAAGACGGGTGTGGCGATACAGGTTAGCAGATTGGGATGAAATGCGCCATTTCTTTGCATCATATCCTTGGCAGGTTTGCTTTTCTTCAGGAGACTCGTCGAGCTGTGCTGATGCTGTAGTCGAGGCCTTGCGTTTGGGTATGGAGTATTACATACCATACTCCGATGTACCCAATGCTGAAGCACAAAAGCAGTCCGCGTACCAAGCATGGGCAGATGCTCGACTGTGCAAAGCTCCGAGTACTCGGAATCTGAAGAAAGCTTTTAATATAGCCGCCAAGACGTGCAAAAGCGTGTTACGTAGGGCCAAGTCCGAACACGTGCGCCGCATATGAGCCAAGCTTGCCTCTTATCCAGCAGGTAGCAAATTCTTTTGGTCCCTGGCCAAAGCGGCCCAAAATAACTTTTGTCACCGATCTTTGCCACCTCTGCTGAGGCCGGATGGCGCGCTGGCTCATACCGCAGAAGAGAAGGCGAATCTCTTTGCCTCACTCTTTGCAGAGAGTTCGCATCTGGATGCCGCAGGGAACGTACCACCTACTTTACCTCAGGCTGGCTGCGCTATGGCGCCAGTTCGTATACGCCAAAAAGAGGTACTTAGAACTCTGCGGAACCGTGACGCGAATAAAGCTAGCGGGCCACATGGAATTCCAGCGGTAGTCCTACGTAACTGTGCGCCTAAGTTGTCTCCTGTTCTCAAACGCCTGTATCGCCTCTCACTTGAGACTGGTGTAGTTCCCAGGTAGTGGAAGCTTGCAAACGTGCAACCTGTGCCCAAAAAGGGAAGCAGAGCTGACTCTGTCAACTATAGACCTATCTCAGTCACTTCCATACTCTGCAAAAAAAAAACTATGGAACGTGTCCTCAACAACCGTCTCCTGTCAAACTTTGAAGACAATGACCTACTCAGTGATCGCCAGTATGGATTCCGACGAGGGCGATCTACCGGGGATCTTCTTGTGTATGCCTGTCACATATGGAGCGAGGCTATAGAAAAGCAAGGCGAAGCACTTGCAGTGTCTTTGTACATTTCTAAAACCGTTGACAGGGTCTGGCACGCAAGCCTTTTAAGCAAGCTTCCATGTTATGGGCTTCCCACTGACCTTTGCAATTGGATCTCGGATTTCTTGAGTGAACGTTCCATTCGAGTGGTCTTAGAAGGCTACTCTTCCGAACATATGGCGATAGATAGAAGGAGTTCCTCAGGGTT